GCATGGCACAGTGCCAGCCTGGAGTTAGATAAACTTATGTTTTAGCCCTGATTTTGCCCCCTCCCATAATTAAAGGTTGAATAAGAAGTTAACCTCTCTGAGCCTACATTTCTAATGGGTAAAATGAATTTAATATTAGAACTTTTCTCATTCTGCTGGAATAATGTAACAGTCAACAAATGGTAACTGTCATTATTATTAAAATGTACTTTTATTTCATGCACAATGAAAGATATCCCAGTTCCTTACTATCTACATGGTTCCCTTCACCCCATCCCAAGGGCTCCCTCCCTTAAAAAGCCCTTTCCTTAAGCCTAGAATTCTACTCTGAGAGTAAAATCAAGAAGACTTACCAAGCAACATTAGACATATTCTGAAATTAAAATATTACAAATCATCCTATTGGAAAATACTCCTACAGCACTATAGATGGTTTTCTTTTCAAAGCTATTTTTCACAAAGAAGCAACTTTTTAGAGTTTCTATTGGTTTGTTTTCATTTTTGGTTGCTTGTTTGGAGGCTAGGGTTTGGCTGGTTGTTGGATTTGCTGTGGTGATTATTGGTAATGAGCCCAAGCTGAGACAGGGACACTGAGCACCCAGCAAAGCAAATATCTCCACACAGCAGCCTCTCAGTAATTTACATTTTAGACCAGGGGTCCTCAAACTTTTTAAACAGGGAGCCAGTTCACTGTCCCTCAGACCATTGGAGAGTGCGCACTGTGGGCCCAAGACGAGTCGGCTGCTAAGCAGGACAGGCAGCGGCAGCAAAAACATCCAGCGAGCTGGATAAATATCCTAGGCAGGCCATATGTGGCCCGAGGGCCGTAGTTTGAGGATGCCTGTCTTAGACTGTAGCCAAATAATAAAAAAACAGCAACATTTAAATGCTCAAATGTCTAGGTCCTCCTAGTCCCTGTACTTCCCCAGTCATGACAGTCATCACTCTTCACAGTAATAAGCTGTTTTCATTTTCCTAATAAACTGTAGAGACCATGAAGGTTGGTTTCTCCTGCCCTCAATATAGTATAGATCTCCAGGATGTGCAGAATTAGAACAGCTAGGCCACTGACACCTACTTCGAGAATCTTAAGATTTGGACAGGGTTTCAGAGATAAAAATGGCCCAACCTTCTGATTTTCAAGTTGAGACCCAGAAAAGTGGATTTTACTTTGCCAAATTGTTTTCCAGTTATTGCAGAGCCTGAGCACAGTTTTTAGACCGCTTTCCAGTACTCCATCCTTGCTGATACAGGTGATAGAAGAATAAGAAGGGAATTAACTTCAGTGGCTAAAGAACACCAGAAACCTAAACTTAGTGGCACTAGAATCAGAATTGCAAACAAACACCTGTAAGCCAATCTTTGGAAGAGATGCCAAAGGCTGTCTTTGTCCTAAAGCACTGAATATCCAGTTGGGATGTGTTGGGGCTAGGGGAGGCAGTCACGAGATGTTATTACTAGCATGTAGTAAGTATTGTTGGCGAATATCTTAGTGTTACCAAAATGAATTGAGCTCATTGCCCACTTCCCTCCTTTTAAAAGGATGATTATTTCCATTTTCAATTATCATTTCTCTCTTGGTTGGGGATATTCCTGACTATTTTGTTGCTGATACCACATCAAAACATAATGGAAAGCCAAGAATAAACTGATCTAATCCAGATCATAAACAAGAAGGAAAGAGTCTTGTGAATATTATTTTGTATTTGAGCTCCATGAGGGCAGGGACCAAGTCTATCTTAGATGCCAGGTGATCGCAGACACAGGCATCTGAATCCAACCTGTTTTTCCTGATTTCAAACAAGACAGAGTAATCCTCCTTGCTCCCAAATCACTCCCCTGAAATTAAATTAGACTTCAGAGCACCCACAGTGTACCCAAAGTTATTCTCCACTCATATCTGGGATTCCTGGACAGACCAGGGACACAAGGGACAACTAACATGACTTGACCTGACAAACTCCGTAATGAACAGGCCCAGAGTAGGAGGGCTGGAAAATGTATAAACTAGGGCGATTTCGCCAAAAACCATCTTCAGATGGCTTCATATGGGCCAGGCTGGAAGGGACAGCTTCCTGGAAGGCTCTGTATCAAGGGTCCTCAAACTTTTTAAACAGAGGGCCAGTTCACTGTCCTCAGACAGTTGGAGGGCCGTGGGAGAATGCAATGCACATTCCACACATGCGCACTGTGGGCCCGGAACGAGTGGGCTGCTAAGCAGGACAGGGAGCCCCGGCAAAAACACCCGGCAGGCCGGATAAATGTCCTCTGTAGGCTGCATGTGGCCGACAGCCATAGTTTGAGGACGCCTGCAGTCTGTACAGTCTAGGCAGTGTCTTCAGGTTGCCCAGCAACAAGTGCCTCCGGACAGGGGCTCTACCTGCCCTTCTCACTTCCAGGGAAAAAACGGGGTTGTCAGCCTTGCTCCTTTCTCGCCATTTACCACCACCCAGTATGCACCTCCCTTCCTGCTGCTACCGCCCGCGTTACCTAAGACCCTGTGGAGCTCGCTGACCTGCTCACCAGAAAGCCCAAAGTCAGACCCACCGCGGCTGCTGTGTGGTCTTGGCCTGATTGATTCTGCTGAGTGTATTCCACAAAGCACCATTCTATGCTCAGCGCCCATACTGACACTTTGAGGGGAAATAATTTAAGCATATGCTGTAATAACTGCTCTCAAGGTGCTTGAACGTATTTTTAAAAAGACTGAAGTACATTACATAGAGAGATATCTAGATATTAGACATACATATTGTTGGAATATAGGACTCAGAGACATGTAAGATCTCAGGAGTTTTGCAGAGCTTTGCCTTGAAGGAATCTGTGAGGGAGTTAGTTTACAGACCAGCAGCCGCCTGGCAACAGTGAGCCTCTCACCAGTCAGGGGCGTAAGCAAGGCACGATGCCTGTCTGGAGACCTGGGGCCAGCACCTGGAGCTCGTGTGAGACAGAGCTTGGCATGCGGTCACAGGTGAAGGACTGATCTAAGAATGCCAGCCCAGCAGACACCTGCAGCTGAAACCAATTAGCTTCAAGGACAGTTCCTGCTTCACTCCTGACCACATGTCTCAGTTAATGAGAAACTAGATAAAGAAATATATAGCCTCTATATTTCTGTTTAGTTTTCTGCTAACTGACAGTTTTATCTTTAACTTATATACTCAGCTAGGTCTATTCTTAACTTAGGGCTTAGAAGTTTATGTTAGAAAAATTTTCTAATCATTTGCTCATGTATATAGAATTAATTAAGGGATTTCTAGAAACTTTTGGGGAGCCTTGAAACCTAAACGAATAATCTGTACACATAAATCTGTAACCACTGGCAACCAATTGCTGATGCAGGACTTCACTCAGGGCCTCACAGCTCATGGGAATCCTGGAGGACCCCTGACTCCCCCATTACTTTAAACTGCACATTGCCTCTGTCTCTATTACTTCCAAATCTCTTGCAATGATCCTGCCCAGGACCTGTTTTGCTGGAAATATAGCTAACTCCTGGCAAAATATTACCTTCAGTATGTGTGCATAGGTATGCATGTAGAGGATTGCACATATAATTGCATGTATTGCACACACGCATATGGGTGTGTATGTGTGTGTGTATACATAAAATTACAATTTATAATGAAAAGGGCATAAGCCTAGAAATCAGGAAACCTCCATTTTATTCTTTACTTTGACAAAATTTTTTGTGTTTGCTCTGTGCACAATGTCTTTGGGTATCGACTCCTCATCCATTAAGGGAAAGGGCTGGTTTAAGATATTTCTAAGGTTCCATTCTGCTCTAATATGCACTAACTTTCCTAAATTACACAGGAAAGATTCACACACCCAAATTAGAAGGCAGATTTTATGAAGCTCAATCCAGTTCTGTTCTCACATAATCATTTTGTTTTTCTAATCTACAGTATTTTCTCAAAATTAGCATCCCTCAAAAGGCATGTGTCTAAATGTGCAGATTGGAGCCAGTTAGGAATAAAAATACAAATACATTTTTAAAGCATAAAAAAATAAAAATGGTGAAGTCAATGAGTATAATATAATCACTCTATTTCTCTGCTGTACTCTATGAAATTCATCCACCCATTAACCCACATAGAAAGTAAAGCAAAAATAAACTGAAAAAGGCATAAAAATGAAACCAAAAATGATTTTTAAAAAGTTATCAAAGATCTTAAAAAAATTCTGGTATTCAATTAACCTTTGGCCATTCCACAAACAGATATTCGAGAAACACTATTGGGACACGCCCTTGACCGCCCTTGGTGCTTAAGGTTTGTGTACTTAAATTGTTTTGTCTGTCCCAGAGGTCCGGTCCCCGCCCGCCCTGGGGGCCCCGTCCCCGCCCGCCCTGGAGGTCTGGTCCCTGTCTGTCCTGGGGGCCGGTCCCCGTCCGTCCTGGGGGGCCGGTCCCCGTCCGTCCTGGGGGCCGGTCCCGGTCCGTCCTGGGGGTCCCGTCCCCGCCCGCCCTGGGGGCCCCGTCCCCGTCCGTCCTGGGGGCCGGTCCCCGTCCGTCCTGGGGGTCCCGTCCCCGCCCGCCCTGGGGGCCCCGTCCCCGTCCGCCCTGGGGGCCCGGTCCCCGCCCGCCCTGGGGGCCCCGTCCCCGTCCGCCCTGGGGGCCCGGTCCCCGCCCGCCCTGGGGGCCCCGTCCCCGTCCGTCCTGGGGGCCGGTCCCCGTCCGCCCTGGGGGCCCCGTCCCAGTCCGTCCTGGGGGCCGGTCCCCGTCCGCCCTGGGGGCCCCGTCCCCGCCCGCCCTGGGGGCCCCGTCCCCGCCCGCCCTGGGGGCCCGGTCCCCGCCCAGACCCGCCCTGCAGGGCTGCGCCGGGTCCGCGCAGAGCGTTTGGTTCCCACTGCCCGCACCAGGTTGCCCCGGCGGCCCGGGCGTTGGTGGCCGGCGACCGCGGCTGCACGTCGCGCCCCCGGCGGCACTGCCCGCGCGTCCCAGCCTGCCGGACATCACCGCGCTGGGCTCCCGGGCTCGAGCCGGGCAGGACGCGGAGCGGGGCGAGCGTGGCCCCGGGGCCGTGGAAGCCCGAGCGCCCAGCCGTTACCGTCCGCAGTCGCGGCTCTCCGCGCTCTTCCATGGCGCTGAGGAGGGCGCTGAGCTGCCTGTGGACCTTAGGCCTGTGCCTCGCAGCCGGCAAGTCCCCCGTGATCCCGTCCATCGCCGACCCGCACTTCATAGACAGCTGCCTCCGGGCCCACAACCAATGGCGCGGCAGAGTCGAGCCCCCCGCGGCCGACATGAAGTTCATGGTGAGAGGGCGCGGGCTGGGCTCGGGTCGCCGCTGCGCCCTGGGGGCTCTGGGAGACACAGTCCACCGGCTTGTCTGTGCTGGCTCGGTCTGGACAGGTGCGTGCGGCTAAAAATCACCTTCGGATGGGCTATCTCCTCCGAGGTAATGATGGGAGTGGATAAGAAAGGGAAACTCAGCTGCTGTCATCAAGGACTTACCTGCGGGGGGCGGTGTTTGGAAGTTGCTTGGTTTTCCCCACTCAGGTGTGTATGTGCTTCGCACAGGGTTGTCGGTTTTCTCCCCGCCTTTGGCCAGCCGCTTCCCATCCCGCACAGCCAAGATACTACTGCAGATATAAAAGCAATAGCACAGGGGTAGAGATTCTCTTGTTTTCTTACCTATTTTTATATAATACGAACCCACTTAAAACAACACTTCATGTGTAGTGTTCGTTTGAAAAAAATCCTCTACAAAGATGTGAATAATGAAATCAGTGCTTGAACAATATCAGATGGTCATTTTCATGAAAAATAACGACATGAAATTTAATTCCAAAGACATTGAACTGCTCGTGTCTTTCGTAGTCTTCCATCATATAGACAATAAGGCAGAAGAGAGTATTCTAGTAAAGAATAAGCATAAAGAGCTTTAGGTTATTAAAATAATCCATAGGATTTTCAACATTTTTAACAAATTCTTGACTGTGAATTGTATTACTGGAAATTTCCCTTGCATTATAACTTTTTCTTGCTCCTAAATATATCATTATGAACATAAATGTTGATAGTATCAGTCAATTTTATGTACTATGCAGATGTAGACACTTTGTAACTCATATCTATTCCAGCTGTCTTCCAACAGAAAATAAAATGGAAGTAATTATAAAATTACAACTCAGGCACTAAAATACATTTAGACAGCATTATTTTACTGTATGGGAAAATGATATTTTGAGGGGAAAGGTAGTTTCAAATAGGCTCAAAAAATAAAACAAAAATAAACTTACCTCTTTAATGCAGAAGTATTAAAATATTTTAATATATAATATTTACCTTAATCTTTTCAACAGGTTGGGGTGGGGAGTCTAGGGCATGAATGAACTAGAAATAAGTCTTAAACTGAATTCAGAAATGCTAATATTAGTAGTGATATTGGTGATGTATTTTGAAAGAATTTTATTGCATAGTGTATGATATAAAAGTAAATGTGGGGTTAAATATAATAATATTCATATTTCTTTAATAGCATTGACTACTTAAAGAAAATGAAATGCAATGTATTGTGGGGTTTATTATGAAGTAGAAGCAAAATACATCACAACCAAAGCAGAAAGAAAGTTGCTTGATTTTCACCACTAAGGTTTATATATACTTTGCACAGGTTTGTTCATTTTCCCTCCCACTTTTTGGCTAGCCACTTCCCATCCCGCACAACCAAGATACTATTATAGATATAAAAGAAATAGCACAGGGGTAGATGGGGGTTGAAGTGGTGTTGAGGGGCAGAAATAGAATTATTCTGTTGAAAGTTCCTTACATTGTTTGTTAGGAGTTATAATAGTTCCAGGCAGACCAGGAGAAGTTAAGAATGAACATTTTAATATCTAGAGTAACCACTAAAAAATACAGAGGTAGACCTAAAAATCTAATAGATAGAATACTATAAAGTGCTCGATTAATTTTAGAAAAAAGTCAGGAAAAAGGGAATAAAGGAACAAAGAACATGGGAATAAGTAGAAAATAGATAATGGCAGACTAAAATTTAACCGATTTAGAATTATATTAAACACAAATGACTAAACGCTTCTATTAAAAGTAGAGATTACCAGATTGGATTAATTGTTTTTATACACAAACAGGTCACAGACAGGATCAAAGTAAAAGAATGAAAAAATACATTATGCAAACTCTAAACATAATTAAGATAAAGTAGCTACATTTATATCTGACAAAGTAGATTTTAAGACAAGGAGTATTACCAGAAACAAAAGGGGAGGCTGGGAGCTGTGGCTCATGCCTGTAATCTTAGGACTTTGGGAGGCTGAGGTGGGAGGATGGGTTGAGGCTGGAGGATCATTTAGGCCGGAAGTTTAAGACCCCATCTCTACAGGCTTGCTACCAGCATTTTTAGGCTAGAGGAAAAATAAAATGGAATCTGACATAATGTTTCATTGTGTGCTCAGTAATTAAATCTTTAGTAAAGAATATGAGGTTTTAGGGATTTCATCTGACCTCTTTAGGTTTGGGTTTGATTATAATATTTTTGCTCATTTTCATTGATGTTATCAAACACTAAATTTTCATTTTTTCTAAAATAACCAAAACTATTAAAATTAAAGAGCAAAATTATAATTAATTAATACCATTTTTAGTATTTTAAATATTTTGAAATTTTTAGAAAATTTAATTGTCTTATATATTTTTATAGATATCGAATTATTTGCCATTCTAGTGTTCATGTACATCTAGTGGCCAAAAAGAATTGTCACTTAGATAATATACAGATCTACATTTATCCCTACTTAACAAAAATTGAAATTGCTAGCATCGCAAAATACGCCCCCTGCCCATCCAAATAAGAACATGAATAAAAGTAAGGAAATGGACTTTCAGTAGTACTGGTAAATAATATTATATTATGCAAGAATCTACTGTTTTCATATAAAATAAAGGATTTAACAAATTAATCTTTTCTCTTACCTTAGAGCTTCTGAATTTCAAATTCCTCTTGGATTCTGAAGCAATATCTATCTCCAGTATCATCAGTGATAATATTCACAAACCTATGCATTATGCCATTCAAACAGAGACACTTTTATTTTAAAAAGTGTGGCAAAGATACAGGCATTTAGTGTTGTAGGTCAAGCTATACCAGTGCTAAGGTTTAAAATGGGGATAATGTTTTGTTTTATAATAAATTGTGTGTGTGTGTGAGTAATATGTGATATCCCATACAGTCTGAGACCATAGCAAGGATCCTTCCTCCCTAGGTCTCAGGAAATTAGAAGTTTAGATTTTTATTATGACTGTACTCTACATTCAGGAATAAATTTTATAAGAGGCTAGGATAGGCTGTGGTATGAAATAAACCCTGCAATCTCAGTGGCTTAGCAAGACAAAGCTTAATTTCTTACCACAAAATGTTGTAGAGAGAGTGAGTTAGGATTCAACCTCTCTTGTTAGGGGAAGAGGGAGCCCCCAACCCCAGCTGACAGACAGGCAATATAACAAGAGCTTCCAAAGTCACTGATTAGATAATTTCTTTACCAATATGAAGAATAAAACAGTATCTAATGATTCTTACTATTTTAAATTAAAAGCTTTAATATTCTTTCACTTCTCATTTATTCCCCATTTTTGGTTGAATTGATATAACTTTTATATTCAAATTGTTGTTCTTCTTGTTTGTTATGTTGGAGGTGACTCATAATAATGCAAATAAATTTTAAGACTGCAAGTGTTGGCAAGGCTGTGGAGAAATTAGAACCCTTGTAACACTCATGGTGGGAATGTAAAGTATTACAGCAGCTACAAGAAACAGTGTGGAGATTCCTCAAAAAGCTAAAACTAGACCCACCATAGATGTTCAGTAAGCCCATTTCTGGGTATATTACCAAAAAAACTGACATCAGGACCTCAAAGAGATATCTACATCCTCATGTTCACTGCAGCTTTCTTCACAAAAACCAAGATTTGGAAACAACCTAGTTGCCCATTAAAGATGAATGGATAAAGAAAATGTGGTACATAAATACAATGGAGTATTATTCAGCCTTTAAAAAGAAAGAAATTTTGCCATTTGGAACAACATGGATGAATCTAGAGGATATTATGCTACGTAAAATGTGCCAGTCACAGAAAGACAAACACTGCACGGTTCCACATATGAGGTGTCTAACGTGTTCAAACTCACAGAAGGAGAGAATATAACAACATTTGCCAAGGAAACAGAACTGGGGAGTTGTTATTCAAAGGGTATAAAGTTACAGATATAGATGAATAGGTTCTAGATATCTACTGTACAACTTAATGCCTGTAGTTAACAATATACACTTCAAAATTTGTGACTGTGGTGATGGTATTACATGTGTTTGCTTAAGTCCAAACTCATCAACTTGTACATATTAAATGTATGCAATTCTTTGTATATACCTCAATAAAGCACTTTATTAAAATATTACTTTTTTTTTATAGTACTCTCAGGAATTTTTGAATATTGTTACTACACTGTTTTTACTGCTCAACATCATTCTTTTTGTACCATCCATGTATAGTATGATTTCTTCAGCAGCATGCTAGCACATCCCAACATCCTTCTGCCCTCAACTCCAAGCATAACATAATGTTTCTTGCAAAAGCACAAGCAGAAACATCATGATTATATGAGCATATTCTTAAAAAATAGTGTGGGAACTCTCCAGCAGATGAAACTATTAAAATTATCTTTGTTTTGGTTTATATATTGAAAAATTCTTAGTAGACGTTCTTCTTCCTCCTAGTGTAGAATATCTTCAGTTATAATCAATAATATGAGGGCTTGAGTTTAAGTAAACATAGGATAGGTGATTGAGCTTTTCAAAGTTATGGCTATCATGGCAAATTTATCTATTTATGAGTTAAAGTAGAATATTGCTAAATAATTTTCCTTCCTAGGACCAGAGACTTAATAGCAATTAAGTTTTAGGTGAAAGTATTGCCAGATCTAAGGGGTCTTTAAAATATTTTCCCTAGAAAGATTTGCAGTTACATGGTTAAATTGGGGAAAAAACTTTAATTATGATTTACTTGAAAATTCTACAATGTAAATAGATGCTTTTAGGAATATTCATATCTAGATAATTATAATTTGTACATCTTGTGCATTGAAATTGGATTGAAATACATATTTGGAATGCTTATATATAATTCCTTACTCCTCAGATACTAATTTCTGCTCTTTCATGGTAATAGAGTTTACTATTTATATATTATGACTAGGTCTTAATTAAAATGGTAGAATAATTTTCTCTTGTGTCATACT